AATAAGGGTGCAGTGTAGAAAGGGTCCATAAACACTATCTGTATTGGTTGATGTCTTGTGTTTCTGGGTACCATCTGTCTTTGTGTTAAGAAGAGAAACCTTAGGCAGGAGAATATTTAAAACATTCCACAAGGGAGAGATTTCACAAAAAGTTTTTCATTATGCATTATAGTTTAAGTATAGGTTAAGCACCTAATTAAATTTTTTAATTGGGGCCTTCTTCAAATGGTCAGTTTCACTGCATTTGATTGCACACTTTCAACATGTTCAATTAATCCAAAATGCATCCAGTTTCAAAATCCAATTATCAGAATGTTCATAAGGTTGAAATCGCAAAGTATAATGATGTTTACACGCAACCTACATGTCTCAAATGTTGTGTTGGATAATAACCTAACACAGGGTTCGTTATATACATATATTTATTCTATTACAAACTACGTCCAGCCACATGAGTTACAAGATATATTGTGTGCGCTCTCTATAGATTCTCACACTCCCCAACTCCCATACTGCACCCATATCAAATATCATCAGCTTTCATTCATCATTGCAGCCAGCGTGGGAATATTAATCTGACTGCAGACTATGTTTACACTACATCTCCCCTTCAAAGTCAGTTTCACAAATTAAGTTTGATTGGCGGTTTTGATAACCTCCCAGACTTCGTTATGTATCCTGACAAATTGTTGTTTTCTTTCTCACTTGACATGCTCTCATTTTCATTCATGGTTTTATTTTCACACATGCCATTCTCATTAACATTCTCTGACTCAGCATTCTTCTCTGTTTCTTCACTCTGTCGTTCTTCTATTACATGCGATCTGTTTCTCCTCACATCTCCCTCCTGAGTTTTTATTATATATGATCGAGGGAAATCTAGACAACTTTTTACAATCCCTGGACACTTCTGATCTTTCACCCACACCTTTTTTCCGGGTTTTAATTGACTCAAATTTCTTGCGCGATGCCGTCTGTCAAAGTTTTTCTTTTGTTTGACTTTGCGATTTAATTCACGCTTTTGAATTAATTTTACGTTTGGCAACTTCGGTTTCAACTGCTTTGGGTTAACTGGCACATTTGTTTTTATTTTTCTATTCATCAATAATTCTGAAGGGCTGTACCCATTGCTTAGCGGCGTTGAGCGATACATTAACAAAGCTAAGTACGGATCAGATGATTTTTTCAACATTTGTTTAATGGTTTGCACTGATCTCTCTGCGAGACCGTTGCTTTGCGGATAGTTGGGACTACTTGTTACATGTTTGAAATCAAATTCTCCTGCAAAATCTTTAAATGTTTGAGATGAATATTGTGGCCCATTATCCGAGAAAACTATCTCCGGAATTCCGTGTCGCGCGAAGATTGATTTTAAATGGTTAATAATCGCTGCCGACGTTGTGCCAAACAACTTTGCAATCTCAATGAATCTTGAATAATAGTCAACAACTAGCAAGTACTTTTGACCATTCAGTTCAAACAGATCAGTGGCTACTTTTTGCCATGGTCGATCCGGAAATTTACTTGGAATGAGTGGTTCTCTCACATTTTGAGACCCCTCTATGCACTTTTGGCAAGATTTCACTAAATTTTCTAATTGAGTACTCAAGCCATTCCACCAAACAGATGACTTGGCTAACTCCCTGCATTTCACTATCCCTTGGTGACCTTGATGTAATTTCCCTAACATTTCCTCTTGAAGATCTTTGGGGATGACTAACCTTGTTCCTTTCAGTAACAAACCATTTTGTACTGTAAAGTCTCCCCTGACTTCCCATAACATTATTAATTCTGTTGGGATTTCAGATTTCTCGAGCCATCCCGATTTACAGTATTGTATGACATTGGCACACAGTGTGTCCTTGTCATAAACTGATTTTATCTGATCTAATTTGCTAGGTGATGCTGGTAGACTACTCATTATGGCGTCAACAAAAGCATTCACCTCACCATCATCTGGGGCGGGCGGATCCACAGGTGCGCGTGATAATGCGTCAGCTGTGATCAGCTCTTTACCAGGGGTGTGACTTATAGTGAAAGTATAACGCATAAGTCGCATCCTGAATCTTTGGATTCTAGGGGGTAATTCAGACAAATCTTTTGTACTTAAGAGTGGTACCAGTGGTTTGTGGTCCGTTTCTATTTTGAACTCTCGACCTATTAAGTAGTCACTGAGACGTTCACAAGCCCAAGTAATAGCTAAGGCTTCTTTTTCTATCTGGGCATACCTTTGCTCCGTTTCTGACATTGACCTTGATGCATAGGCCACAGGTTTCCATGTTTGCCCGTGTTTCTGCCTTAGGACTGCACCTAGACCGTATGACGATGCGTCCGCTGAGACCATTATGTCCTCCTTTGTGTCATAATGTGCTAGACAGGGAGACTGAGAAATTTCTGTCTTCAGACTCTCAAATGACCTTTCTTGAGCCGGACCCCACATCCATGCATTCTTAAGTTTGAGCAGCTCTCTTAGAGGCTGTGACCTTTCTGCCAGCTTTGGTGAGAATCTGTTGAGTTGATTCACCATACCCAGGAACCTACGTATGTCAGACACGTTTTCTGGCTTTTTCATGTCTAATATGGCTTTGACCTTTTGTGATTCTACTTTAATGCCCTTTTCGTCAATGACATGACCTAGGAATGTCACGGATGGTTTTGAAAATTCACATTTCTTATTGTTCAAAGTAAGGCCATTATCCTTGAGAATGCTTAGAACGTTTTCGAGGATTGTGTCATGCTGACCTTGCGTTGCAGCAAATATGAGGATGTCATCCATGTGACATAACACACCTTCAACCCCACAAAGGATTTCTGACATTCGTTTCTGAAAGAATTCACTGGCTGAATTTATTCCAAACGGAAGTCTATTAAAAATAGAATCTCCCATAAGGAGTAATAAAGGTTGTGAGCAGCCGTGATTCAGGTGCTAGGTTTATTTGCCAAAACCCTGAATTTGCATCCAATTTTGAAAATATTTTTGACCCTGATAATTTGGACAAAGACTCTTCAACTGAGGGAAGGGGGTGATTTTCTCTTTTGACTGATTCATTTAGCTTTTTCAGGTCTACGCATATTCTTACTTGACCATTGGGTTTGGGGGCAATGACCATTGGAGCACACCATTCAGTAGGCTCATCGACCTTGGAGATAACTCCTAAGTTCTGCATTCTGTCTAACTCCTCTTTGACCTTGTCTCTTTGTGCAAACGGCACTTTGCGAGGTGTCGACAATGCATATGGCTTAGAGTCTTCTTTTAAGTTTACTTTGTATTCCCAGTTACTTTTCCCCAGCCCATTGAAAACCATTGGGAACTTTTCGCGGAAATATGTTTCAGATTTTGGGGTTTGAACATTTTTCGCGTTGACAGACGCAATATTTACCTTTTCAATGATGTGCAGAGCTATGATAGCCGGTCTACCTAGTAATGCCTGGCTCAATCCTCTCACAACATATATTTCTTGCACACTGAACACACTTTTAGACTCAAGCTCACAAAGAAACTTTCCCAACACATTTAATTTTGAGTTTCCTGGTCCATGCAATGAGCGATTCACGTGTGAAAGTTTAATTCCTCTTAACTGTTTGTAAACGAACTCGGGTATCACTGTTACGTCTGCACCAGTGTCTATCTTGAACTTCACAGTCCGATCTCGGATTTTAAGGTTGGTCATCCAAGGTTCTCCTTCTTTGGTGTCGACGGACCCAAGGAACCATTCACCTCTCTCGCCGGATCTCCTGTCCACTTCTGCTATGTTTGCTTTTCGACAAACTTTAGCGAAATGTCCTTTGTTGCCACATTTATGACATTTAGCATCTCGGGCGGGACACTTGTCTCGAGGGTGTACTGTCGCGTTTCCGCATCTGCCACAGCCTGTCAGGTTGGTTTTATTCGCTGTCTGGGCTGGTTGTCTGGGATTTGCTTTTTTCCTCTGGAATCTTACTGCGTCCATGTTGTTTACGGGTACCTCTGGGGTTGTTGACCCTCTCACAATCGGCTGTTGCTTCTTGATTGTTTCGTTCTGCCTGGCCATTAATATCGCTGACTCCAGACTGAGTTTTGAATCAAGTTGTAATTTTTCTGATAGTTTTCTGTCCCGCAGTCCAACGACTATCCTGTCTCGGATAAGGTCATCATGTAGGGCGCCATAGTCACAATATTCGGCGAGGACATGAAGGGCAGTGATGAAACTGTCAGCTGTTTCGCCTTCCTCCTGCTTCCTTTGGTTGAATTTTGCTCGCTCGAATATAACGTTCCTTTTTGGAATAAAGTACTTTGATAGTGCTTCTTTGACTGGCTTCCATTTAACACTATCACCACTGGAAATTTTTAAAGACGATAGGATGTCGTCAGCCTCCGGTCCCATGGAATAGATCAGTGTGCTAACTTGTACATCCTCATCTGCTTCACAAAGTCCTGAGGCGAGTCGGAATCTCTCGAATCTTTGGAACCATTTTTCCCATCTCTCTGGCTTTGTAAAGTCAAATTTTTCCGGGTGAGCAAATTGAAATGATGCCATGTTGGTACTGGGGTAGTCCTTTTTAACTTATAAAAGTATTAACACCGCTGCCACCATGTTGTGTTGGATAATAACCTAACACAGGGTTCGTAATACACATATGTTTATTCTACTACAAACTACGTCCAGATACATGAGATACAAGATATAAACTGTGTGCGCTCTCTATAGATTCTCACACTCCCCAACTCCCATACTGCACCCATATCAAATATCATCAGCTTTCATTCATTCATTGCAGCCAGCGTGGGAATATTAATCTGACTGCAGACTATGTTTACACTACATCAAATGGAAAGTGAAAAACACGGGGATCGTTTATTACCATTCTCCGCTGCGCATATGCAGCTCCTTCTTTTCCTAAGCATGGTATCAGGCGAGTCTTTGTCACCCCTGGGCTGGGGTACCTCGTAAAAACAGAAATAACTTTCTTATTTCTCCGTTTCTTATAATTTTTCGTTGTGTTGATGATCAACACGATCACAGGGACTGAAAACAAGGCCGCGACCAGCATGACAGCAGACGACATCATCGCTGGGGATCAAAATCCAGATCAACTGGTGCAGCTTCACGCCTGTTAGACATGATTATTGTGGATGTAAGCGGCGCTGTAAATATTTTTATCTTCCTTGAAACGTTTGTCCAGGAGCAAAAACTCATAATTTATCATTGTTTTAGGCTGTTAGTAATGAAATTTGGGTTAAATTTACCCTGAAATTAACCATTGTACATGAAATCATACAAATAGCTTTTATTTAATTTTTAGTGATGTAAGCGGCCTTCCAATTTTGTAAACAAACGGACAGACGCAGTTTCGATACAGAGAAGACGGATGCTGCTTTGTTTGTAAACAAATATGGACACACACGAATTGTTTATGAGCTGTAGACGCGGAGATTTACAGAAATTGAAGTAAGAAATTTAATATGTCACTTCATTTTTATAATTTTTAAAAAATGCAGTTTGGTGCACCACTTATTACAAGTTATGAAATGTCATTCGCAGCTTACTGTGGTTATTTTAAGATCGTGCACACAATTTCTGGGCTGTCATTTTGAAAGTTTTTGTAAGACTGAGCAGACCATTATAGGGTCAAATTAAATCTTGGAATATACTTGTCACATTTCCCTTTGTGTTACATGTGTTAGGCTGACATCTTGATGTTAATTTATCACTTAAAGATTGTATGGCACGCCAAATTTAATAACAAGAATGAGCTAAACATAGTTTCACAGTTGATAAACTAGGTTTATTGTTTGTAAAATATAGAACTCAATGACGTAAATCTATATTTTACATCTGTAAACTATATAGTTAACACGTTAATCTATTTTCAGAATAGTTTAAACTAATTATATTTAACACTGAAAACAATCATTAGCCATTGCAAAATATAGATTATCTGATAAATACAACTTTACGATTTGTAAACTATGGTTTAAAATTACAACTCTTAACTATAGTTAACAAACTGATAAATGTAGTTTCATGAATTGTGAAACTTTATAATGATTAACAACTCTTAACTATAGTTTACAATTGTATATTAAAGTTTACAAACGTGAATCTATGTTTATCAACAAAATCTAATAATTTAATTCTGTTTGTAACGCTGTATTTGATTGGATAAAAAATTTACTTCATATCGTATAAAATGGGTTGCCTAGGTCACAATGACTTACGTCAAAAATGTATCAATCCGTCTGACATTACATTCGAATTTTGTACAAGTTGAAGTCATTTTGTTAGAACAATCATCTTTTTTTCTTGCATCGAATGTATGAATAAATGAGATAAACTTAGATAAGCATTCGTAAACTACAGCTAACAACCGTTAAATATATAGATTTACAGATGAAAACTATAGTTAACGAATTGTTAACTATAGTTAACGGTTTGTAAACTATAGTTTACAGTCGATAAACCTAGTTAATATCAACTGTGAAACTATTTTTAGCTCTTTTTTGTGAATTTGGCGTACTATAAATGTGCCGTACTTATTTGAAATATTTCCCATGTTTACTGCACAGAGGCCGGCAACAGGGGTCCAGCTAATAATGATAGATACACCAAAATACACTCTATAGAGTAATATATTTTCTTGAAGGAGAGGAGTTTGCATTTTTATCAATTAAGTCAATAGAAATTTAAATTATCACTCTTGAAAAATTAGGAGACTAGCATACAGCATTCTAATTAAATATAAGGGAAGGGCAATGTTTGAATGCCCCAGAATGGGAAATTTTAGTGGATCAAAGAATATGTATGTGTGGACACCCTGCAAGAAGTGTTAAAATTTCAATTATAATTAACAGATTAAAATTCATTTAAATTATCAGTTCATTTGATACATGCATGTATGTATATCTTGATCATAACAGTACATATCAATAGCAAAATGGAACATATGCCAAGAGGAAGAATTCATCGGTTAATGTGTTTACATTATGTGTTACAGTAGCTTATAATGTACGTTATGGGTATATGATGGAAAAAAGCAACTTTTATGTATGATTCCTCAGATTAGGGAGGAATCTATAACTTGACAAGACAGAAAAGTTGGGTAGCTGTTGTAAAAAATTGAGCACTACATGATCACGTATGTTTCAATTTCAAGAGCTGTACGTCTGCAAGTCCTGATTTGACTATATATATATCACAGATTCATTTTTACTCATTCATTAATTATCACGTCCCTGAACACTCATCGTCTCAAGCCACGGTCTGGAGTCCGCATAGCTCTCTCCTACCCGTGGCTGCTTGATCACAGAAAGTGTCATAATCTTGAATATTTACGCCTCTCTATTTTGAAGTCAAATTCAGTCAGTGGCAAGTTTTGTTTCCATCGAAATCAATAACTGATGTCAATGTATATACAAGAAATATTTCCTAAACTGTGATTGGATATTGAAAGGTCGCGATCAGAATTAATTTTAAAGTCACATAAAATTTTATGAAGTTATTAAAGGAGGTGTATTTTTGTATGGAGGTAAGCTTAGTACCAAAATTTATAAAAAAAAACATGCTTAATACCTCAAGGTACCTGGTTGACATTTTAATTTGATTGACAGGTACCTGGTTGACATTTTAATTTGATTGACAGGTACCTGGTTGACATTTTAATTTGATTGACAGGTACCTGGTTGACATTTTAATTTGATTGACAGGTACCTGGTTGACATTTTAATTTGATTGACAGGTACCTGGTTGACACTTTGATTTGATTGACAGGTACCTGGTTGACATTTTAATTTGATTGACAGGTACCTGGTTGACATTTTGATTTGATTGACAGGTACCTGGTTGACATTTTGATTTGATTGACAGGTACCTGGTTGACATTTTGATTTGATTGACAGGTACCTGGTTGACATTTTGATTTGATTGACAGGTACCTGGTTGACATTTTGATTTGATTGACAGGTACCTGGTTGACATTTTAATTTGATTGACAGGTACCTGGTTGACATTTTAATTTGATTGACAGGTACCTGGTTGACATTTTAATTTGATTGACAGTTACCTGGTTGACATTTTAATTTGATTGACAGGTACCTGGTTGACATTTTAATTTGATTGACAGGTAGCTGGTTGACATTTTAATTTGATTGACAGGTAGCTGGTTGACATTTTAATTTGATTGACAGGTACCTGGTTGACATTTTTATTTGATTGACAGGTACCTGGTTGACATTTTTATTTGATTGACAGGTACCTGGTTGACATTTTGATTTGATTGACAGGTACCTGGTTGACATTTTGATTTGATTGACAGGTACCTGGTTGACATTTTGATTTGATTGACAGGTACCTGGTTGACATTTTGATTTGATTGACAGGTACCTGGTTGACATTTTAATTTGATTGACATGTACCTGGTTGACATTTTGATTTGATTGACAGGTACCACTGAGTGGTTGACATTTTAATTTGATTGACAGGTACCTGGTTGACATTTTGATTTGATTGACAGGTACCCGGTTGACATTTTAATTTGATTGACAGGTACCTGGTTGACATTTTAATTTGATTGACAGGTAGCTGGTTGACATTTTAATTTGATTGACAGGTACCTGGTTGACATTTTAATTTGATTGACAGGTACCTGGTTGACATTGTAATTTGATTGACAGGTACCTGGTTGACATTTTAATTTGATGGACAGGTACCTGGTTGACATTTTAATTTGATTGACAGGTACCTGGTTGACATTGTAATTTGATTGACAGGTACCCGGTTGACATTTTAATTTGATTGACAGGTACCTGGTTGACATTGTAATTTGATTGACAGGTACCTGGTTGACATTTTAATTTGATTGACAGGTACCTGGTTGACATTCTAATTTGATTGACAGGTACCTGGTTGACATTTTTATTTGATTGACAGGTACCTGGTTGACATTTTAATTTGATTGACATGTACCTGGTTGACATTTTAATTTGATTGACAGGTACCTGGTTGACATTTTAATTTGATTGACAGGTACCTGGTTGACATTTTAATTTGATTGACAGGTACCTGGTTGACATTTTGATTTGATTGACAGGTACCTGGTTGACATTTTGATTTGATTGACAGGTACCACTGAGTGGTTGACATTTTAATTTGATTGACAGGTACCTGGTTGACATTTTGATTTGATTGACAGGTACCCGGTTGACATTTTAATTTGATTGACAGGTAGCTGGTTGACATTTTAATTTGATTGACAGGTACCTGGTTGACATTGTAATTTGATTGACAGGTACCCGGTTGACATTTTAATTTGATTGACAGGTACCTGGTTGACATTGTAATTTGATTGACAGGTACCTGGTTGACATTTTAATTTGATTGACAGGTACCTGGTTGACATTCTAATTTGATTGACAGGTAGCTGGTTGACATTTTAATTTGATTGACAGGTACCTGGTTGACATTTTAATTTGATTGACAGGTACCTGGTTGACATTTTAATTTGATTGACAGGTAGCTGGTTGACATTTTAATTTGATTGACAGGTAGCTGGTTGACATTTTAATTTGATTGACAGGTACCTGGTTGACATTTTAATTTGATTGACAGGTACCTGGTTGACATTGTAATTTGATTGACAGGTACCTGGTTGACATTTTAATTTGATTGACAGGTAGCTGGTTGACATTTTAATTTGATTGACAGGTACCTGGTTGACATTTTAATTTGATTGACAGGTACCTGGTTGACATTGTAATTTGATTGACAGGTACCTGGTTGACATTTTAATTTGATTGACAGGTAGCTGGTTGACATTTTAATTTGATTGACAGGTACCTGGTTGACATTTTGATTTGATTGACAGGTACCTGGTTGACATTTTAATTTGATTGACAGGTACCTGGTTGACATTTTAATTTGATTGACAGGTAGCTGGTTGACATTTTAATTTGATTGACAGGTACCTGGTTGACATTTTAATTTGATTGACAGGTACCTGGTTGACATTTTGATTTGATTGACAGGTACCTGGTTGACATTTTAATTTGATTGACAGGTACCTGGTTGACATTTTGATTTGATTGACAGGTACCTGGTTGACATTTTAATTTGATTGACAGGTACCTGGTTGACATTTAATTTGATTGACAGGTAGCTGGTTGACATTTTGATTTGATTTACAGGTACCTGGTTGACATTTTAATTTGATTGACAGGTAGCTGGTTGACATTTTAATTTGATTGACAGTTACCTGGTTGACATTTTAATTTGATTGACAGGTACCTGGTTGACATTGTAATTTGATTGACAGGTACCTGGTTGACATTGTAATTTGATTGACAGGTACCTGGTTGACATTTTAATTTGATTGACAGGTACCTGGTTGACATTTTGATTTGATTGACAGGTACCTGGTTGACATTGTAATTTGATTGACAGGTACCTGGTTGACATTGTAATTTGATTGACAGGTACCTGGTTGACATTTAATTTGATTGACAGGTAGCTGGTTGACATTTTGATTTGATTTACAGGTACCTGGTTGACATTTTTGATTTGATTGACAGGTACCTGGTTGACATTTTTGATTTGATTGACAGGTACCTGGTTGACATTGTAATTTGATTGACAGGTACCTGGTTGACATTTTGATTTGATTGACAGGTACCTGGTTGAACAGAAGGAAGTGGAGCTCAACCTGAGAGACAAGTGGGACAGCACACCGCTGTAAGTTAAAATTAATCAAAGTACTGAAAGTACTGAAAGATAGATCTGAATAGTCTGAGATAGGCTGATAAAGATACTACTTATGATAATGTCCTATAAAGAAGATGATGTATGGCTATATTCCAGGATTAACATGCAGATAAAGAAACATGTGATTCCTCAATTCATTTCTTCTTTTACTCTATTACTTTTTCTCCATCTGAAATGGCATATTATGTATTTTTTTTAGTTTTATGAATATATAAATGAATTGGTTATAAACTCAAATATGTAGATTTGAATGACTTTCATGTCAAAAGAAATAAATCTAAGAAAGTGTTCACACAATTTAAATACATGTATCGACCTCATGTCAATTTGATTCTGAAAAAAGGAAATAAAGTCATTCATGAATACTTTTCATGTATGTGTTTGTTTATTAAAAAGAAATCTAAGAGACCTTTAACTGAAATATGTGTACATACTTTGTTTTAGGTACTACGCTTGTCTGTGTGGGCACAAGGATGTTGTTCAGTACCTGTTAGAAAATGGTAAATTTATTAGAAAATGGTAGGTTTATTAGAAAATGGTAGGTTTAACTATTAGAAAATGGTAGGTTGTCAGAAAATGATAGGTTTTCAGAAAATGGTAGATTGCCAGCTCTGTATTGTAGGAATTTAGGTTTAAAATATTGCTAGGAAACAGGAGTGCCTTCATGGATACATGTACAATGTACCATCAATAAAATAATATTATGATAGATAGCTAGTGACCATGCATACATATTCATCATGTTTATACTGTGGATATCAGTCATAGAAAATTTCACGTTGTGGTTTTTTTTCCGTTAACCTAATAATATAGAAACAGCCATGGTTTTATTGTGAGATATGATTTTTTCCAAATAGGTGTGTTTTCTATCCCCATGCAATGGGAAAAGAAGTTTAATGATGTTTTTTTTTTATTGTAGGTGCGCGGTGTGAAGCTAACACATTTGACGGTGAACGCTGTTTGTACGGAGCTTTAAACAATGAAATCCGGAATCTTCTCAGATCCTTCAACATGGTGTCCTCTAAAACGCTCCGCCGAGATCTGTATGAGGAATTTCTACGCAGGTCAATCTAATTTTACAAATCTTAATATTGCTTTGATAGTTTAAGAGATTATGATAATTAAGCTGATTTTCACTGTTTGTAAAGATATTTGTGCATAAAGTTAATGAAGAAAGGTATCATGAGATTTTTAATGAATTCCTTTGGCATTGCCCCCCCCCCTTTTTTTTTGCAAAGGTAGACATAATATGCACATTGAACATTAATTCGTAATTAGTCCACCCCCTTCCCCACTTTCAACAAGCATGTTGCAGTTTAGGTCAAAAAAGGGTAAGTGGTAGTGTTTGGATAAAAATTAAGTACTGAAAGAAGTATGATCCAGCCCCTCAATCCACACCCACCCCCCATGATATAGGACACCTTTGGTTTGAAATTTTTTCTCTCCTTCACTTAGCCCCTTTTCGATTTGCTTCTGATGCCAATGACTTAATTTATTTATTCTTTAAATAACAGTTTAAACGGTGACAATAACAAGTATTTTTTTTTTTTTTTTTTACAATATATCATTGTTATCCACTATGTGTTGAATCAATTGTATTAGATAGATTTTAAACTTAAATTGCTGTCTGATATTTTCTGGCAGGTCTGACTTCTCCTGCTAACCATCTTTGTCTATTTAATGAAGCATACATTGAGAATGTACATGAATGATAATTTATTCTGCCAAAACAATGTTGGTGCATATTAATTACAAACGTGATGACAATTAGTGCAAATACTACTCATTACAAAATAATAATATCTAAGTTTACTTACAGACTTTTAGAAATGGGAATGCATGAGGATGTTACATTTCATGTCTACGGAGAAAAAATCCCTGCCCACCGATGTATCCTTAGTGCTCGATGTCCATATTTTGCTGAGTCATTCCGAACTCGCTGGAAGAACAGGACAGATATCATAATCAAACACAAACTGGTATCAGATATCAATAAAAAAAATAAACTGTCAACAGATATCTATATCACAAACAAGTAACAAATCAGATATCAATATCAAACACAAACTGGTATCAGATATCAATAAAATATATAAACTGGTAACAGATATCAATATAAAAAATAAACTGTTAACAGATATCAATATCACAAACTACTATAAGTGTAGTAATAAATTAGATATCAATATAAAAAAACTGTTAACAGATATCAATATATCACAAGCTAGTTACAAAACAGATATCAATATCAAACATAAACTGGTAACAAATTAGATATCAATATTAAAAAAACAGATATCAATATCAAGTCAGACATTACCTTTATGTTGTTTAATTAATCTGAATTTTCTCTGTTTTAGGTGGTACCATGGGCCTTCAGGTCACTCCTGCAGTACATCTACACAGGTAAATAAACACTTATTACATATGTTTGGAATGGTTGCCCTGACAAAGTTTTTATTGATTTAAAACAAAAGCCTCTCAGTCCCTCCCTCTCTAGCCTAGTCATGTGACCTAGTTTTTCCATAGAAATCTCATTTTCATCCTATCGGCATTGTGGTTATTTTTATACCCCCTGCAAATGAAGTTTGGGGGGGGGGGTATATAGGAATCACCTTGTCCGTCTGTCTAGCTGTCCTTCCGTCCATCTGTCCGTCTGTCTGTGCAATCATGTCCGGTGCATATCTTTCTTACCATGGGACATTAGAATCTACTACTCCACACAAAGATTGCCCGTGACCTAAGGGTGTGTCATGACCTTGACCCAAGGTCATTTGGGGAACTTCAAGGTCACTGGAAGAAAAATTTCATAATTCGTGTCCGGTCGATATCTTTCTTATGAATAAACTTGGTAGGTTCTCATTTCACACAAAGATTGCCCATGACCCAAGGGTGTGTCATGACCTTGACCTAAGGTCATTTGGGGAAGTTCAAGGTCACTGGAAGAAAAATTTCATAATTCGTGTCCGGTCCATATCTTTCTTATGGATAAACTTGGTAGGTTTTCATTTCACACATAGATTTCCCATGACCCAAGGGTGTGTCATGACCTTGACCCAAGGTCATCTGGGGAACTTCAAGGTCACTGGAAGAAAAATTTCATAATTCATGTTTGATAATATCTTTCTTATGGAAAAACTTACTTCTGAAAAACCCAGTGGGGGGTATTTTGTCCTGTTTGGACAGTTCTATTTTTAGCTCACCTGAGCCGAAGGCTCAAGTGAGCTTTTCTGATCAAAATTGTCTGTCCTCGTTGTCGTTGTTGTCGTTGTCGTCGTAGTCGTAAACTTTTCACATTTTCATCTTCTTCTCAAGAACAACTGGGCCAATTTCAACCAAACTTGGTACAAAGTATCCTTGGGTGAAGGGGATTCAAGTTTGTTCAAATGAAGGGCCAGGCCCTTTTCCAAGGGGAGATAATTATGAATTAGAGAAAAATTAATGGCATTTTTAAAAAATCTTCTTCTCGAGAACCACTGGGCCAGGAAAGATGAAACTCATGTGGGTTCATCCTCAGGTAGTATAGATTCAAGTTTGTTCAAGTCATGACCCCCGGGGGTAGGGTGGGGCCAAAATGGCCGATCAAAGTTTTACATAGGAAAATATAGGAAAAATCTTCTTCTCAATAACCACTGGGCCAGGAAAGATGAAACTCATTTTGGATCATCCTCAGGTAGTGTAGATTCCAGTTTGTTCAAATCATGCCCCCTGGGGGTAGGGTGGGGCCAACATGGCCGATCAAAGTTTTACATAGGAATATAGAGGAAAAATCTTTAAAAATCTTCTTCTCAAGAACCACTGGGCCAGGAAAGATGAAACTCATGTGGAATCATTTTCTGGTAGTGTAGATTCAAGTTTGTTCAAATCATGACCCCCGGGGGAAGGGTGGGGCCATCAAGGCCGAGCAAAGTTTTACATAGGAATATATAGGAAAAAACTTTAAAAATCTTCCTCTCAAGTACCACTGGGCCAGGAAAGATGAAACTCATTGGGGATCATCCTCAGGTAGTGTAGATTCAAGTTTGTTCAAATCATGACCCCCGGAGGTATAGTGGGGCCAAAATGGCTGATCAAAGTTTTACATAGGAATATGTAGGGAAAATCTTTAAAAATCTTCTTCTCAAAAACTTTTGGGTCAGGAAAGGTGAAACTCATGTGGGATCTTCCTCAGGTAGTGTAGATTCAAGTTTGTTCAAGTCATGACCCCCGGGGGTAGGGTGGGGCCAAAATGATGGATCAAAGTTTTACATAGGAATATGTAGGGAAAATCTTTAAAAATCTTCTTCTCAAAATCTTTTGGGTCAGGAAAGGTGAAACTCATGTGGGATCTTCCTCAGGTAGTGTAGATTCAAGTTTGTTCAAATCATGACCCCTGGGGGTAGGGTGGGGCCAAAATGATGGATCAAAGTTTTACATAGGAATATATAGGGAAACCTTTTAAAATCTTCTTTTCAAGTACTTCAAAGCCAGGCTTCGTTAAATTTATAGGGAATCATCCTCAGGTAGTGTAGATTCAAGTTTGTTCAAATCATGACCCCCGGGGGTAGGGTGGGGCCAAAATGATGGATCAAAGTTTTACAAAGGAACATATAGGGAAACCTTTTAAAATCTTCTTTTCAAGTACTTCAAAGCCAGGCTTCGTTAAATTTATAGGGAATCATCCTCAGGTAGTGTAGATTCAAGTTTGTTCAAATCATGACCCCCTGGGGGGGTGTAAAATTCAAGCCCCCCCCCCCCCCCCCCAGTTTACTTTCAGTTCTGATCTGATCTGTGTTTTTTCCTTGCCAATTGCTCAGGTGAGCGATGTGGCCCCTGGGCCTCTTGTTTTTTAATTTAATCATTTTAATGAAGTCTGAGGATTGTATATTTTCTAAAAATGAATTGCATAAACTTAAAAATATGTAAATTCATGTTGCATTATAAATTTGACCACTGGCCTTGGATACTTAGACTGATTGATTGATTGATTGATTATCCTCAGGGCGGTTGGAAACCCATGTAGACAGTGTGGAGGACTGTAAGAGACTGGCTCGTCAGTGTCAGCTGCCGGACCTCATCAAGGAAATAGAGGAGGCCTACAAAAAACAGAGCTCTTACGGTGAGTCTGCTCTCTCAGAAACATCTTCAGTAACATCCCTAGTGATGTATAGATGAGACTACAGGTAATTACATTCCTTTATAGACTATTTACACTTGACATCTGTATCTTAACAGAAATGCAGAAACCAGGAGTAAACATCACCAACATCCTGATTGAGAGGTCAGAAGATTCACTTGACCTTCAGTTTGACCTAGGGCGACTTGCTGACCTTGCTCTACCTCGGGAGCTGTCTACATTTGTAAGAATTAATTGACATACCAGTTTATTAGAATGAAAGATAGGAAGAAATTGTAAATTTCTTACAGGTATTAATATATGGATATCAAATCAATTTAATTTTATAAGTCATAGAGTAGACATATTGCCAGTCTGATCCTTCCATTCATTCTGAATACACTCATGTAACTAAAGCTTCATCTTTATTACGTTTAATTCCTTATTTTTTCGTAGGTTCAGGGGGAGCTCCCATTTGAACCAGAATACGCCTCCTTTTACCCAGACATCTGTTTCTGTGTCGAGGGACACAAATTTCTCTGTCACAAGGTACGAACATCATTTCTACTTTTACAGTGTCACACATTACAACTCTTACTTATATATGTACATGTATATTATTTTCAGTTAAATATCTAAAAAAAAAAAAGAGAGAGAGAGAGAGAGAGAAATTATATTTTTACTTGAAGCGATTATAAATTTTTAGCATTTTCTTAAAAACTTAGTAACTGGAACAGACATTTTCAAATATTCATGATAGAAAAAAAGATAATCATTATTTAACTATTCCTTATAAAAAAATGTTCATACAAATATATGAGCCGTCCCATGCGAAAAGGGCCCTTATGTACTTTGACGTCATAATGAGGAAAACGACGGTAAAGACAACGTCATAATATGCAAGTTTCAAGTAAAACATTTCTCAACTTTTTAACATGAACGTTATCAATTTTTTTTTCATTATTGTGTATACGATCTAAAGCCATTCAAATATTTTTAAAAGGAATATCTGTTTATAGTTCAGAGCTTAGTCACTTGGACATTTCCATGCAATAATGAGCATAAGCTTTTTTGAAAGATGATACTTATTCCGATCATAAGATTTTTTTAATATCCCATGTTTCATATTTATAGAGGTTGTACCTGCATGTAATTCCGTATTTATCATGTGCACTTCATTTTGAATGCTTAAACATCATAACCAAAGTGAAAATTTTACAATAGAAATTCTTTTATATAAAACAAAGTTCAGATTTGTTCACATTCACGATTAAAATTTAATTTTGCTGAGGTCTAGCAAGGCCAAGGAATTTGAAAAAGTTTAGTGTCAGATCAATTCTTCGTTAAGCAGATGCATAACAAGGTAAACATTTGAATTTTGCATACGTAACAAAACTTTACAACGCGAACTGAGATCTTAAAATTTTGTCTGTATAAACGTCATAAATGACGACTTGACTCTGTCACAGTCAAAATGACATGATTCAATTCTATTTTTAAAGTACAGAAATATTTGACATTACAAACACTTTATGTAATTTAAAATTAATTTTTTAATGTTTAGGGGAGAGTCGGGAAAATAAATGAAAAAAAAATCCTTGAGACCCCCACCCCCACTCCCCACCAAAAAAAAAGAAATTAAATACTTCAAATTAAAAAAAAGGCAATATAATTTTTTTAATGGGAACATTGATGCTATATTGAAGAGGGTTGTGGCAACTGGTTCTTTAGAAAACATCTTCAGACTAATTTAACAAATGTTATATTTGGAAGTAATTTCCCCCCTCCCGGACGTACAATACCACATGTACAACGTGATGTACATACCTGCTTCTAATTACTCAATTCATTTTAAAAAAAAAATTTTAACAAACATAATACATGTATCCTGGAAAATTTATCTGAGAGATTGAATACAATATCATTTGAATATATATTTTTTTATTTTTCACAAAAATGCTCACAACAGTGTATTATTTAAAATTGGAATTATTTTGATTATTGGAATTTGGGGTTTTCAAGAAAAAATCCCTTAGTTAGACTAACTTACACAACTAACAAGAATTTCCATTGCATTTTGTGTTATTATTTGACTAACTTAGACAACTAACAAGAATTTTCGTTGCAAATTGTCTTAGTTTGACTAACTTAGTCAACTAACAAGAGTTTTCATTGCAAATTGTCTTAGTATTTGACTAACTTAGTCAACTAACGTGAACATTTCTATTAAAATTTAGTTTAGTCAATAGTTTTAGAATTTAAGTTTTTTTTTCTATTTATTTTATAATTATTTTGTTTTAAATCATTTTATTTGTTTCTGGAATGTTGTTTGTGCTGGTGTTCTTTTTTTTTCTTTTGCATGCATTTTATTTTTTGGACTTTGCCTAAAGTTAAGGCTTAGTCAGTTTTTTGTCAGTCTCAGCAGGGTTAGTTAGCGCACGCGTAAATGGGGTTAGTCATGCCAGGCACAACTAACCCCCCCCCCCCCCCCCTACTGCGCATGCCTGGCTACTTTCTAATCTTGGATTTTGATTAAAAACTTTCAAATTAACATCCAGTCCTGAATAATGTTCAGTAAATACTCTCAAAAGATTCCAGAATCCTCACCAGCTTGCGTAAATTTCGTAACTCGTAACGTATTTCACACTCAAACGCCGAGGAAGATCGGGTTATTTCGTTCTCCCCAATATTTTCACTAACCTTGCAGTTTGCATTCGAAAAATCCCATCCTTCGCGTTAACATTGCCAAGAAAATGCTGCAGTAGATAAAGATATGTTAGCAATAGGAAAACATGCTTTAAAACGCGGAGAAACACGAAGATATGTAGCCTCGTTCAATCTCAACACAGCCAGTGCAGACACAGTTCGGCGTCACTTCCGCTGTGACGTCAGATTGATTCGTATTCAATCGTAGCTACTCGGCTATTTCCGAAATCCTCTTCGGGTCTTGATCTCTGATACGAAAAAAGACGAGTTTGATCCGACCGCCCCTGCATTGTTTAAAAGGAATATTGGGGTTTCATTTGTAACATACTTTGGACAGTGTTATCCAATATTTTATTAAATGTTAATTAATAGATATACATACAGACTTGTGATGAGATTACTTCAAAACACGTATGAATTAGTATTAATCCACAATATTAACGTACCTTTCTTTTGCAGCTTTACGTTGTACATCACAGGTATATAACTCTGTCTCTCCAATTGTTCACAAAACTGTTTGTTCGTTTCAATGTTGAATTTAGTTTTTTTTTCCTGGTGAAGGAAGTTCAGATGTAATAATTATTCTAAAAAAATATTTTGATAGAGGAGTAAAAATAGTACTTAGTATATAATTTCACTGTCAGTTAAGAGACGCATTTTAGACACAGGTACTTGTGTAGAAATATTCAAAAATCATATACAATATTTTGATATAAAAAGTAATAATGAAGGTGAATGGAGGACTCTTAATGTGTGGGAATCTATCTATTCCACGCATAAGTTAGACGTCCAAATATTTTCTTCTCAGATACGTTTTATTTCTTTCTCTCTCTCCACTTGGCAAAAAAGGGGGGGCCAATCCTCGGACCCCCCCTTCTGTATCCGCCAATGCCCACCATTCTATAATATCGAAAGATTTGAAGCTACCAAACTCTTATCCGGAACTCCTACTAGGCCTACATTTGTAAAAGGATCTGCCTAGCTGGTTGAAATTTTGACGTCCATATTATGCTACACTATATACACCCAGTTTCGGTGTAAATTGTCAAGAGCGCCTAGATCCTTAGATACTAGTATCTGACATTTGATAATTTTGATTTTTGTTTCGTTGTAAATGTTTTTTTTTTTTTAAAGTCTTTAGAGATACTATGAAATATTTATTATGGTGTATCCTTATTTATTTGGAGTTTTGGACGAAGGGCTGTGACGAGTGCAAAACACTCAGAATACATTAATCTATCATAAATAAAAATTTCAATAACTTTCCGGTATCATCGCCAATCAAACCTCATGTCACTTATTTTCATGCATGACTTTTAATTGTACAATGACGTAGTTTTTGTCAAGTGACCGCACAAATTCCTACCAGTATTTTACGTTTGTGCGTTCATAAGAAAGACAGAACAAAAATTCGAAGTTGAAGAAGGAAAATTCAGGTGTTGTTCGAAAATCAAGAAAAAAAATACCCGTTATTCGAGAGCTGTCGCATCACGACAACTCTGTATCAGGGCGAATAACTCTAAATCGGTAGATGAAGCACAGCTGCACTTTATTCTAGTTGAGCAAATAACATAGTGCTTAAGCATTGGCGGATCCAGAGGGGGGGGGGGTTATGGGGGTTGGAACCCACCCTTTATTTTTTGCTTAGTGGAGAGAGAGAGAGATAAAAAGTTTTCTGAGAATAAATATTTGTACGTCTTACTTACTTATTGAATAGATAGATTCTTACACATTTAGTTTCCTCCATTCACCTTCACTACTATTTTTTATATGAGAGAATAGTAGAATGTATTCCGCTTTTTTTTATTTAAATATATATCTTATTTATGATATGATATTGTAACATGCGTGGTTTAATTTTATATTGGATTCCCTTGATCTTTGGCTGTGTCGGCTATATACGTAACGGTTTTTATAAAATCATATCTAAATCTATCTAAGAAACTAACATGTAACTCTTTGTTTTAAAGCACACGCGCACCCCACTACCCCTCCCCCACCCCGATTTCTTTTTTCAAATTCTTTAAGAAATTTCTTTAAAGACGATACAAATCCACTCAACTTTAAGGCTTCTTTTTTGAAAGGTGCGGTTTTTTGGGTTTTTTTTTTAATTTTGGTTCGGACTGGGTAAAATATTTTTTTTAAATAATGACATTAAACAAAGATAGTATTTACCACAACCTTAGACCTTTCCATACAAGTCTGTGAATTTTTGCTTAAGAGTAGGGGGGGGGGGGGGTTCTGAGGGATACAACCCTGGAACCTCCCCTTTCTAAAATTGCTGGATCCGCCCCTGGCAAGGATGGTATATTCTGCTAAAACGCTATATTACAATAGGTGTGATGTTTAAATATTTTTCTGTGTGGAATTCATGTCAAAAACTTGATTTTTTGCAGCGATGAATGAAATATTTGCAGAGTTCCTTAAAGCATTTCGTAGTTTGTAATACGCAAGTTGTTTATTTTGTATCTAGAAAGTATGGATAATCTTCAATTTTGTAAATATCGGTCATTGACCGGTTGCACGATTTTCATACCATTACCGGAAGTCAAGTTTGAGTCTGCTTTGCCTTAACAGAAAATAAAAAAAATGCATGTTTAACAAAACATTTGACAATATAATGGAGTTTCGTTTGTTGCAGATACGAAAAAAAACTGAATAAGATACTTAAATTGTTAGGGAAAAAAAAGACTGAGCATCATATGACAACTTTCGTTAGCCCTATAGCATTCCTAGTGAAATGATAAACACATGATCATCATTCTATATTTTATGACATACATTAATATAACAGTTTTTAAGTGCCATGCTCATACTTACGTGTATTAATATTGCAACAGGTG